CAGGTACATAAGCAGGGCTGTGTGAGATTTTTGCTATTGTATTGTACTTACCTTTACCTTTTACCTTTCCCAAGTAACTGCTTGGGCCATGTACTTCCTTAATTTAAAGGAAAATGAATACAAAGCCCAGATGTTCTTCAAATACAAGCTGGAGAAAAGGACACAGCAGCAGAGGTTTCACAGTGTGGCACCCCTTGGTCTGAAGTACGTAAAATCTGTCCAGTATGCTTTTCCAGGTGGGGAACCCAGAGTCGGAACAGGTAGAGATGGGCCGGGGAGACTGAGCTGTGTGCTAGAGTCCAAGAATGAAGGGAAGTTGGCCCAAGAGGCTGTGGTCCTGATGCCAGGGTGTTCCTGCTTTAATTTAAGGCATGGTGTCAAATGCTCCAGACAGGTTAAAGCAGAATGGATTTTGATTTCCTTCAGTTAAGAATCTCATGGTATTTTCAGGAAGAGGGGAAGAGAAGATAGTGGGAAACAGCCCCAGGGTAACATATGCAATGGGAAGGTGGGCTCTATGCATGGGTCCCCTGAGGGGAAGCCCACCCTTGCGGGACTGCAGTATTTTCCTTGAGATCTGCCCCAATGTTGAGAAGGGAGGCCGAGGATTCCTGTGTGGAATTGCACGTCCTGTTGGCCAGTTAGGAGAGGTAACTGTTCTGAAAGGGAGGCCTCCTCCAGGCACCTTCACACGTGGGCTGGATTGTGCAAGTCACCTGTGACCCCATGTGCATCCCAGAGCTCTTTCTCTCCCACTGGGCTGCCTGTTCCTTGAGGACTTGAGGACAGACAGAGGTGGGGCCTTATTCATCTCGGGGTTTCCAGGAAGGGTTCAAGAAATGCTTAGGAGCCTAATATCATGCATGGATTGCAAAGCCTGGGATTTCCTAGGAAGTAAAACTTAAAAAGGGGCAAGTGCTGGTGGAGACGTTCCCAACCTTAGGAGGGTCATGTCACTTGAGTTTGCTCATAAGTTGCCCCTTGGTCTTTGGAGCAAGGAGAGTATGAGATGTTGCTGTTGTCACCTAGCCTTGCTGATGGAAAAGGTATGAAAGGAAGGAAGAAAGGAGGGAGCGAGGTAGGGAGGGAGAGAGGGAGCAGTTCTTTGTGCATATGTTCAGGTTAGGTCAGTTCTGCTTTTACTTCTGCTTGTTGAATTTACATCCTATGATATGTGTGCATGTGATATGATGTGAAGTGATGTGATGTGATGTGATGTGTATGTGGTGTTTTTCTTTCCCACCCGCTCTGCACAATCAATTTAAATTTTATCACTTGGAAAGGTGGTTGTGAGCTAAAACAAAATGACCATATATCGCACATCCAGATTTATGCTAATGAAGTGATTGTTGAGAGATAATCTCACCTCTTTTTGTTTCTGAAATGATTTCCCTGAGCCTTAGGAGTTTGGTTCCATTGAAACACAATAGGACCCTGATATACTTTTGGAGAGAATGAAGATGAACCCCTGCAGAAAAGAATGTCCTAAAATGGTAGCTAAGGCCATGGTTTTCATGTGTCTCAGAACAAAGTTTTGCAAATTGCTTGCTCTTTGGGGGCAGAGACCCAAATCCTCCATCGTGTTAACTAACTCTTGGCGCTTGCCTCATATTTGTGGATTGTGAGATATGCAAATAATTAAAAAGGACTCTTAGTTGCAGCGTTCCACAGAACTTGCTAGGGTCCCCTGGTATATTTTACAAATGAAATTAGGCTTTATGGGAGTTGTAAAATTAGATATGGACATATATTTGTAAAATCTCAAATGCAAGAATAATATTTCTGAATCCAGTTTTGCTTCCTGTCTTAAATTTATGCATTCATTCTTTCTTTATAGCTGTGCTATTTATTTGTAAGTATATTCCAGGACTAATTTAGAAATCAGATAATTTTGTTGATGCTGTAGTCAGAAAATGCATTGATTTGGTTTCCAGGTTCTAGATAATATATAGCATTAGAAAGATAGCTATTATTTTCATAGAAGCTCATTATTTTCCCATCTTTTATTCTTAGCCTTATTAATATCTACTTTATACTATTATTTGATATGGGCCCCCTTCAACATGAAACATTGAGTGTATAACCCATATGCATTTGTATATTTGGGATGTGGGTATGTGATATTGTTGAGGGTGGGGAGAATAGTTCTGAGACTCAGAAAGTCTAAATACACCTGGGATAGAGCACGGAATTTAATGGAATTGACTCTGTCAATAAAATGCTAGAATTCTTTCACAAATATGGTTTTTGCATTTTCAAATAGCCTTCTGTTGAAAGGAAATAGAATTCATTTAAAATTGCTTGACTCAGGGTGTGAGCGGCTGTGAGGAAGAATGGTGTCTTTGTCCAAGCCCAAACTCAGAAATATCACAGCTTCAAAAGCCTGTCCTGCCTGGGGAGCAGCCTGAGGAGTGACTTGCCCTGTGGGTCAGGCCATGTGAACACCCCCAGGAGAGAATTCCCTGAGCACAGAGCCTGAGGGGCCTGTTCCCTCTGAGGTGTTAACCTGACTCTTCTGGGCTGGGTGTTTGGCAGAACATGGGGAAAAGAGAATTCTGCCTGGAGCCCTAAATTAAGGCATTCTCCTAGGCAAATTATAATATTATTAACCAAAAAAAAAGAAGAAAGAAAAAAGAAAAGAGTTTTAGCAGCTAGCAGTATGTGTGCTTGACTCATTAGGACCACAGTAGCCTCTCAGTGCACGTGCTCTTCCCACCTCGCACACAAGAAGAACGGAGCTGGGGATGTGTTTAGTGCCTTCAGGACAGAGCAGGGGTTCCAGCCCAGCTCTGAGGGGCCTAAGCCAGCTGGTTTTCCCTGTGGTGATTCTGGGGGCTCCCTGGCACCATGTATTTCCGTCATGATACTCATTTCCTCAAAATCGGTTAAGAAGCAGGAAACAACAAAATATTTTAGAAACATTTCTATTCAAAATGGATACATTCTATTAGGGTTTGTGCTCACCGATCCAGAGAATAATTTGGTTGGCTGGAGGGGGATTGTTTTCCAAGCGCTGAATTTTGGTTGACATTTAGGAGTGAGTGGCCAGATAATATTTAAACAGATAATGTTGGGAGGTAACATTTTAAAGAGAAAAGAGCCCTGGTTGGGGACTTAAAAGACCTGGGCATAATAAATAATAATAATAATAATAATAATAATAATAATATAACAAATAATAGCATTAACATTTGTTAAGCACATGTTTATGCTGGGCCCTATTCTAAGAACTTCACAAGTATTAATTCATTTAATTTTCACAAAAATCTTCTGAAGTAGATCCTGTTATTATCCTTATTTTACAAATGATGAAATCAAGGTACAGAGAAGTTAAATAACTTGCTCAGTTTTACAGCAACCAAGCAGCAGAACTGGGTCTTGAACCCAGGCCCTGAGTCTCATCACAGGACCCACCTCTTCTCTGTTACTCAGTTCACCTGTCTGGAGTCCAACACTGTGACCCTCAAAACATTGCTTACTTTTGGATATCATAGACTTATAACTTTGCAGAGTTATTTTGGAGAACTGCATAAGGCTGCCATTTAAAATTTTTGACAACTACTATTCATTCTTACAATAATTTTATGAAAGAAAGGACAATATTAGCATCCTCCTCCCCAACAAAGTAAAGACACACTCTCAGATTAAAGAACAATCCTTTCCTTTATTTGAACGTATGCCCAGTCATTCATTTGGCAAATGTGCCTTGAGCACCTACCGTGTGTTAGCGATAGGGCTTAAAAAACAGACCTAGTTCCAAAGCACATGGAACTTACATTCCAGGTGGGGAGGCGGTCATTTAAAAAGTAAACAAAAAGAATACATGATTACAAAATTTTTAAGTGCTCGGAAAGACACGAGCACAGTTTAGGGACAAAGAAAAAAAAAGTGGGAGGACGTTGCTATGGAAGGCCTCTCCCAGGAGGTGAGGGGACAGCATGTGACTGGATGGGGGCCAATGCCAGGCAGAGAGACCAGCAGTGTGACATCTCAGTACAGGGAAGTGCCTGGGACGTGAGGAAGGGAGAGGCGGCAGCTGAGGCTAGGTCTGGGAGGCCGGCAGAGCAGCCTGGGTCTGGCGAGGAGCACTGGCTTTACTGGAGGCGCAGTGGGGAACCTCTGAGAGGCGTGAAGCAGAGGTATGACGTGGGGGCCCAGTGAGGAGGCTCTTGCAGCCGTCCAGGCCAGAGGGCCTGGGGTTGGGGCACGGAAGAGAAGTCATGGCAGGAGTCCACGCTTACCCCCGTCAGGGTAGGACTAGGAAACAGCAACCTCACAGTCACACAGCTCAGGTGGGGACACTCACACAGGCCGAGGTGTGGGGGAGCCACAGGGGTGGCGCCGGGTCTGAGCGCAGTGGCGCGGTTGCCAGGGAGGCCTGATGAGCTCAGGAGAGGGGGCGCCCTGAAGGAGAGGGCTTCCTTGAAGGGAGCAGCCACCTGCAGTGGAGGGTCAAGCCAGGCCAGTATGCTGGGTCTCTCCCTGGTGGGAAGGGAGCCAGGAAATGAATTCACTGACCTCTCTACTTCCCTCCACCCTCCTGTGATCTCCTGCTGCCTGCCCCATTGGCTGTGAACCAGACACAGAGGCTGCCCATTGATGTGGTGCTTCCAGGCCTGTCTCCGGGCAGAGAGCAGAGTGGAGAGGATAGGAGGCAGATCTGGTGGGAAACAGGACATAGTCAGCACCAGGATTATCCCCAGATTAGTATCTGAGGAGCTAGGTGCAGGGAGGCCCTTCTCCCGAGGTGGAAGGAAAGGAAGAGATACCGGGAAGGACCCAGAGTCAAGTTTTCTTTTCCCCATGGGCTGGCATTTGGGAACTCCTGTCTGAATCCCTCAGGGCTCTGAGTTTTTATCTGTAAAATCAGCAGTTGGACTGAATGACCTCAGCCATTCCTTCCAGCTGTTTTTCTAGATGATCCTATGCAGGGCTTACTGAGTGTTTCTCACATGGAACCTCTTCAAGGATTCAATCCATCTTTTTTATTGAATTTCTAGAACCCAGTCATCCTTGCCCCCTGCCCAGACACTTGAAACAGAAAGGCCATGGCGAGCGAGGTGACGGTGAGTCTGGCTCCGGTTTTCTCCAAGAGCAGGAAAGCATCTGGCGGCTGCCTGACAGATGAGGCCCCATCTCAAGTCTGTATTTCTGTGTGTGGCAGTCATGCTAGAAAACCCTGCTACATGTGAGGCCCCGGCGGTAGATACGAGGCATGAGCAAAAGGTACGGTGAATGTTTACATTAAAAAAATTTATTATAGCAAAAGACACATTGCCATTAATCCCCCTCAAAATACTTCCCCTTGCTTTGAACACACTTATCCCATCATTCTTGCCATTTTCTGAAGCAGTTCTGGAAGTCCTCTTTCGTGAGTGTTCTTACTTTATCTCCATCATGACAACGTTCCGTGTCACACATCGCTTCTGGTATATGGCAATTTCTGTCAAATAAAAACACGACGGTGTGTCCTCATCCACCTTATTCACCAGATCTGGCACCATGTGACTTCTGGCTCTTCCCCAAAGTCAAAATGATTCAGGACATTGAGGTAGCCACAACAGTGCAACTAAAGACACTCACAAAAGAGGACTTCCAGAACTGCTTCAGAAGGTGGCAAGAACGATGGGATACGTGTGTTTGAAGTGAGGGAGAGTCTTTTGAGGGGGGTTAATGGCAATGTATCTTTTACTGTAATTAATTTTTTTAAATTTAAACATTACTGTATTTTTTTTATCACACCTCATACGCTGGGCTGGGGAAGAGAAAGACTGTTTTCTTTACAGATTTATGTTCCAGCCAGCCAAGCCTAATACAGATGGTTTACAGTAGATAAACCATCCACCTGCCCTTGAGTTACTTCATTTCAGTAATAGGAAATTTCGGAGATTCGCCTTCAGTGGTTTGTGAACTTAGTAAACGCAGATCAAACTCCTTGGCATTATCCTATCTTTGTTCTCATTCTTCCAGAAGATAAAAATAACTGACATTTAGTGAGTATTTTGCATGTGCAAGGCACTGTTCTAAGCAGTTCATATTACTAGCTCATTTAATTATTAATGAAATCGTCTGAAGGTAATAGTCTTCTTATTCCCAGATTTGGAAACTGGGGGGCAGAGAGGTTAAACAGCTTTCCCAGAGTCACACAGCTAGTCAGTGGTGGGGTCAAGATGCTAAGCCAGGCAGCCCGGCTCCATCCACCTTCCCCTTAACCACTACTCTCTACTACCTCTGCTGATCACAGGATGCACCTAAGGTCTGTTCTCTAGCTGATAGCAATGAGGCTGCCCCTCAGGGAAAGGAACTTTCTGCCTATTGCTTTACATCTTATTGTCTTCCTCTGTTAATAAATTCAAAAATAATTAATAAATCTTCTTTATCGAATTTAAAAGTCTCATTGATCGTGACATTAATTGTAGCTATGTAAGGTAGACAACAGGGTGCATTTGGGAATATAAATGGAGATTTTGAATGCTTTGATTCATTCATTTATATATTAGTTCAACAAATATTTGCGGAGTGCCTGCCATGTTCCAAGCACTGTGTCAGGTGCTGGGGATGAAATGGCAAGCATATAAGATATGATCTCTGTCCTTATGGAGCTGACAGTCTAGTGAGGGAGATGGAAAGTAACTATAAAGTTGAAAATAGAGAGCAATTAGGAGAATATGACCCATAGTAGGAGCTCAAAAATCATTTTGTTGAATGAATGAGTCAATGAATGAATGAGTGACCCAGTCATTCTTTGAAAAAGTGACATTTTGGCTAATGTCAAAGTAGGGGTCAGCCAGGTGAGGATGGTGAGGTGAGGTGTGATCATCAGGACTGCATTGCCTCCTTCCTGGAGTAGCGGGGACACTAAATTTGGGATGTCAGCCACCTCAGGTCCTTGACTCTGGACTCACATTCTGGGAACAGCTTTCTCTTCTCACAGCCATGCACACTCACATTCGGCTTCTTTTCACATCTGTTTAGACATTGTTTAGACTGTCTCCTCATTGTTTGTCCTTTAAATGTGTCACCTAAATGGTTTGCTCCTTAAGAAGTTACATTTTTATAATGTCTAAGGCTGACTTTTAAAAGATTTTAATTAAAATATAGCTAACATACAATATTATATTAGTTTCAGGGGTATACCATAGTTATTCAACATTTATATACCTAAAGAAGTAATCACCATGATAAGTCCAGCAACCATATCTGACACTGTACCATGCTGTTACAATATTATTGACTATATGTCCTGTGCTGTACATTACATACATCCCCATGACTTATTTGTTTTATACCTGGAAATTTGGACCTTTTATTCCCCTTCATCTTTGTCCCCCTTTTTAAACTTTTCAATTATAGTTGACATTCAATAGTATTTCGTATTAATTTCAGGTGTACAGCATAGTGGTTAGATATTTGTATAATTTAAGAAATGATCTCCCTGACTAGTCTAGCACCCACCTGGCACTATACATAGTTATTACTATATTATCGACTATATTCCCTTTGCTTTATTTTACATCCCCATGACTATTTTGTAACTATCAATTTGTACTTCTTAATCCCTTCACCTTTTTCACCCTGTCCCCCAACTCCTTCCCATCTATCACCCCAATAAACCTAGTACCCATCTGACACCATACATAGTTATTAGAATATTATTGACTATATTCCTGATGCTATACCCTACATCCCCATGACTACTATGTAACAGCCAATTTGTACTTCTTTAATCCCTTTCCCTTTTTCACCCACCCCTCTAACTGCTCTCCCATCTGACAACCATCGAACTGTTCTGTGTCTATAACTTTATTTCTGTTTTGTTTGTTTATTTTGTTTTTTAGATTCCACATATAAGCAAAATCACATTCCATCTGTCTTTCTCTTTCTGACATACTGCACTCAGTACAATACCCTCCAGGTCCATTCATGTCACTGCAGATGGCAAGAACCCATTTCCCTTCCACGGCCACACAATATTTCATTGTATACATGTACCACCTCCTCTTTATCCATTCATCCATCGATGGACACCCAGGCTGCCTCCACATCTTGGCCATTGTAAAGAATGCTGAAATAACGTATTGATGCATATGTCTGTTCAAAGTAGTGTTTTGGGTTTCTTTGGATAAATACCCAGAAGTGGGATTACTGGGTCCTTCTTTATTTCTTGTTACAGCCTTTGTTTTGAAGTCTATTTTATCTGGTATAAATATTGCTACCCCAGCTTTTATTTTATTTTTTTTCATTTCTATTTTCAAGAAATACCTTTTCCCCATCCCTTTACTTTCAGTCTGTTTGTGTCTTTTGATCTGAAGTGAGTCTCTTGTAGGCAGCTTATGTAAGGGTCTTGTTGTCTTATCTATTTAGCCACCCTGTCTTTTGATTGAAGCATTTAATCTATTTACATTGAAAGTAATTGTTGATAGATATGTAGTTATTGCCATTTTATTATTCATATTTTTTATCTTTTTTTATTTAGTCTTAAAAAAATCTCTCTAGCATTCTTTGTAATATTGGCTTAGTGTGGTGGTGATGAACTCCTTTAGTTTTTTCTTCTCTGGGAAGCTCTTCATGTGTCCTTCAATTCTAAATGATAGCTTTGTTGGGTAGAGTAATCTTGGTTGTAGGTCCTTGCCTTTCATCACTTTGAATATTTTCCTGCCAATTCCTTCTGGCCTGCAAAGTTTCTGTTGAGAAATCAGCTGACAGACTTATGGGAGCTTTCTTGTAGGTAACTCACTGCTTTTCTCTTGCTGCTTTTAGGATTCTTTCTTTGTCTTTAACCTTTGGCATTTTAATTATGATGTGGGTCACTTTGGGTTAGTGTTGTTTGGGACTCCCTGTGCTTTCTGGACTTGTATGTCTATTTCCTTCACTGGGTTAGGGAAGTTTCTGTTCTTATTTCTTCAATTGGAGTTTTTAATTTCTTGCTCTCTCTCTTCTGGTACCCCTATGATGTGAATGTTGGTACATTTAATGTTGTCCTGGAGGCCCCTTAAACTATCTTCATTTTTTTGAGATTCTGTTTGCTTGGGTGTTTTCTGCTACCTTATCTTCTAAATCACTGATTTGATCCTCTACATCCAATCTACTGTTGATTCCCTTTAGTATAATCTTTATTTCAGTTATTATATTCTTTATTTCTGACTGGTTATTTTTTATGTTTTCTATCTCCATTTTTATTTTTCCTATTTCTTTGTTGAAGTTCTTCCTGAGATCATTGAACATCCTTATAACCTGTGTTTTGCACTCTGCATCTGGTAGGTTGCCCGAGTCTATTTTGTTCTTTTCCTAGCTTTGTTCTGTTATTTTATTTGAGACATGTTTCTTTGTCTCCCCATTTTGGCTGCCTCCCTGTGTTTGTTTCTATGTATTACGCAGGCCTTCTGGTCTTAGTAGAGTAGCCTTATGTAGTAGGTGTCCTGTGGGGCCCAGTGGCACAATCTTCCTGGTCACCTGAGCTGGGTGCTCCAGGAGTGTCCCTTGTGTGGGTTGTGTGTGCTCTCCTGTTGTAGATGAGTCTTGGTTGCTGTTTGCATGTCAGTGGGGGGTGTGGGGGGGAGGGATTGACCCTTGGGCTGATTGGTTGTGAGGACTGGCCTTGACTATAGTGGAGGAACTGTTGTGCTAGGGTTGACCCTATAGAGCAGGATTTGCTTAGCAGAGCTCTGGTGCCTGTCTAGTCTGCCCTTTGGGTGTGTTGTCCTTGGAGGTGCCCAGGCGATTCTCCAGCTCAGTCTGTCATTAACCACTGGGGATGCCAGCCCTGGGGCTGCCTGGGAGGGGCCCCACTGCAGACTAAGTTCAGCCAAAGTCTGTGCCCCACCTTGGGCAACCTGGAACAAGGCACAAAGCAATCCATAGATGGCTGCTGCCCATGCTGGGCTTGGAGTATCCACAAGAGGCTAAGCTGTGAACCAAGGCTGGTTGTTGCTAATGCCAGGCTTAGGGCTGCTCAGCAAGAGGTACTGGACATGCCAAATCCAGTTGCTGCTATTTGGGTTTTGTGAACCTTTGAGAGATTTAAGGAAAGTCTGATTTAAGGAAAGCATGAGCCAAGACAGACTTA